GGGGGGGGGGGGCTTTCCACCATTCAAGGGGCCAACGAGGGTAGGGGGTGGTTCTGGATAATATAATAGAAGATAAAACATAATAAAAAACTATATAATCGAAATTAATTTATGAACCCCGCCCCCACAATATTTTATTATCTTTGCCCCTTTTAGTACAATAGTCGGCTCCTATATAGGGGCTTAGAGAAAAAATTGTGGATTTTCTCAAATTTATGCGGGGGGGGGGGACTTCTTTTTAGGTTTGGTTTTAGACTTATTCCATAGAAACTTAAACAAACTTATGGACAGATAGACAGACATTGCCAGACAGGTGACAGTCAAATAGACAGCAGACATAGCAGGGTGTCAAAAAAAGACACAATTCTACTACCACTGGAATTGTAATTTCTTAAAGACACTCTGTAGACTGTAAAGTGTAGGTTCAAACTTCAAAGGGTTCAAAAGAATAAATTTCTGGGCTGAAAACTTTGCAAAGAAAAAATAACAATGAAATGCATTTTTTTGCAAAAGGATTGCAGAATTAAATAAAAATAATAATACCTGATCTCTTTTTAGACTAGTGGTCTCGGAGAGAGACAGAGTATGGCTAATCTTCATTCTTTCGGTCTCCATTTTAAAATTTTTTCAGTGTTTTTTTTCCACCAAAATATATTTGTGGAACACAATGGGTTGGTTGGTTGAATATCAGTGAGCCGGGGAGTGCATATTGAATTGTTTATACAGCAGGACTAATCCATGGCCCTGACGTTGGAGACTCTACGCTGTCTCTTCATTCCCTCGTTACAGTCTCCAGCAGCGGAGATCTCAACTCTAGTTTTCTAACTGCCCAAATATCAGGTTACATCTGAAAATATGAAACAGTTTAATTTCAATTTACATTTAAAATGAACTGAACATTTTTAGCACGGTATGAATGTTAATATTAAATATATGTGAAGGGTGTAAATACTAATTTTCTTCTGTGCAATTACATTAAGGTTTTTGTACTGTATTCACGTACAGCTCGCATGTACAAGCCCCAATCCAAATTTTTAGATGTACTTTTTTTTAAATATCTTGATATGTTTAACTATCTCCGTAGTTGAAGAAATCTAGAGCATGACTAACTAAAAGCTAGGCTCGGATTTTAAACCGTAAATTTAAACAAATTATTACTCTGAACACCTTTCCCTGCCTCCCTGTCTCTAAGATAGGGAAGATGGAAAAAATATTTTAAAATCATACCAAGTCCATTTATTAAATAAAAACATAGAAGTTTTTCTTCGAACTTTAAATGAAAAAAAAATGGCGGGAAAGAACAAAAAAACCGCGAAAAGTTTATTAAAGTGTAGAAGGGTCTCTGATTAATGGCCGAACTTGACCCAGATCTAACAATAAACATTCTAAAAGTCAATCCGATCCCATCCAAATCCTATTCATCCTAGAAAGCCCAAGGATTGCAAGTTAAATTAAAAAATTTTAAAAATGTAAAATTTTCTTGAAAATGTGTGAACCCATGAACTTTAATCAGCTCTGAATAATTTGAAATTGATGCTTTTTAGGATATTTTGAGCTTTAAACATTTTGTTCAAGGGGTAGGGAGGTAGGGGGGTGGGGAAGAGGTGTTAAACGTTAAAACAAAATGTTACTCCAAAAAAAAGACGTTATGCCGGGGGTGGAGAAGGATTTGACGATGATTAAAATACAAAAATTCAGATTTTAAATCCCATTACGACTTCCATTTAAAGTATACTCAGGCATGTACTAAAGGTACAGGAGGGATTGGAGAAAATCATAAAATATTCCAGTGGAATAAGAAGACACCGTTAGACTCAAGTTATGATTTTGAATAATCCAATATGCATGTAACAAATTGTGCATCATATTCCACAGTTTTAGGTCCAAAATTAGCAATATATGGGAAAGATGACTTAGCTGGGAGGATGAATGGGGGGGGGGTAAAATTGGCGCCGAATGACGATAAGGCATCATGGATTGTTTCTGCTAGAACAGGAAGTTAGATGATGAAAGTTCAAAAACAATCTAACTGTACTCCTATAATTATAAATTGAAAATTTACCCCCGCCCCCAATTCACCCCCTCCCCCCGGGAACAGATGTGAGCAGGAAGGGATGAGAAGGAGAATAGATTAAAATTAAGATAAGATAAAACTAGAAAACCCGAATTTTAAACAATTTCATAAAAACGTTGAATGTTGATGGAACAACTGTAATATTGTCAATGGTGATCATTTTTATTCAAAAATGTCGAAACTAATAATTATTTTGATAGGCGTCAAAGCTAATTTAAATATGTCCTGTAGGACCTGTCTATTCAATTCTAAATTCCGTTAAAACATTTTTGCAAATAAATATTTTGACGGATTATTTTCACCTTTGCAAATTAAGTCAATTGACCTGAAATGAGGAAGAAATGTTTAAATTGTATATTTATATGTGAACCGATGTCACTGCTTCAAAACCTAGAAAAGCCATTAATCTCAATTCAAACTGGACAGAGAGGATACCACGCAGGCAGTTCGACAAGTCAAGTATTTTTAGATTTATACAGCAGGCACACCGATAATTTAAGATTTTTAGATTTTAAGATCAGTCCGACAGATAATTTGAAGATTTTTAAGTCGTTTCCGCGTTTTTTTGTTGATAATATTCACCAAAATAAAAATTGTTGATAGTAGGAGTGGGACGGTGCTTCCCATTCCTGCCGGCGGTCTGGGGGGTTCATAACGGGACCTCTTTCAGATTTCTTTTCTTATAGTTCTTATAGAGCACCGGTCAGAATTATGAAAATTTATCCATTTAAAAATCATCCAAATAATGCGCGAAAATCGGTGTAGTAAAGTGATAATTAAACATTAATTATATTTGTGCACTTTACTTAAGTGTTTTGACCTTCTGCATAATAATCTATATATTTATATAAATTAATGAATTTTCCTAAAAGCAGGGGAAAGAAATTAACTCTGTTGGAGGTAAAGAGCTTTAATGTACATTGTACAATGCATACATACTGTTTTAAAGTAGAAAGTGTACAGAACGACCACTGAAGTAAATTTTGTCTCAATTTCTATATAAAATCTACATTTTTAATTTCAAAATATTTAAAAAGTAGCCACGACATTCAATGCAATAAAAACAACCTGTGCTCTGAATTACAAAATAAGAAAAGTACGCGGACCAACATAATAACCCTTTTTAATAGAAAGTCATTCTTTCCTTCCCCCCCCCCCCTGAATATTGAGAAGGTCTCCCTCCCCCCTTCTAGAAAATGTAAAAGGTCTATGATTATGAAAAATTAAGATGAAGGGGGGAGGGTTAATTAGCTTCAACTAATTAACTTGTATCTTCTAATTAGTAATTACTAATATTTAACCATAAGGCAGACCAGCATGTATGCATGTAAATTTTAATATGTCAAACCAAAAACTTCACGCAAGATGGAGGGGGGGGGGGGTCATAATGACAATTTTTGGGTTGAGCAAAAATAAACGAACAAAATTTTATGTTGAACTATTTTAAATTATGTCTACACATTAGCGGTTTCATCCCCCCACAACACTTTCCTAATAGATGGGGCGCAAGTCCCCCCACAAAAAAACTCCTATTGCGTCTTGATGATAATATAATTACAAGGATTAACTAAAAAATGTCAGAAAATGAATGAAGAATTGCGGAAAAAAGTATTTTATTATTTATTGAATTCCATATTTGCACTTTGCCCTTAACACGAAAAAAACTTTTAATTACAAGATAATACATTGGAAAAGCCTCAGAAACATTATAAATTATGAAAAGATAACAAAACATTATGTTTAACAAATACCTCAATTGATGAATAATTCTCAAATAAATCAGATAAAAACTATGTAAATATAGACCCCCCTGACATCAAACAATAATAATCCTCGAAAAAACCTGTTTATATTTGTACACAAATAATGCAGAATTTATTCAAAAGAGGAGCTACTGGTTTTTAAACATGGATCTATGAATACAAAATGGAAATAAATCTTTTCACAACATTAACCCTGTCATGTTTATTAAAATAAATTTTAAAAATGTTATACTTACATTGGTCACGAATGTACAAAATTGTCACCAATATTTATCATTCGAATATCAGATAATGTTTTTTTTTCACGGATTTAAGAAATGTTTTTTGGAAGGAAAATGTGTGGAACCTTCCTTGTCAGCGATTGATAGCTTACTAAAGTAGTTTAGTTATGAGAAGAACGCCGGTTTGTACCGTCCCGCCGCAATCATTCGTACCGCTCCGTCCGGTAGCCACAGCTCGCGCCGGGTTGGGGAGGGGGGCGGGGGGGATACCGGCATTTCGGAAAAACGAGAGTAGATACAATATATTAACATTGGGTCAGTCACTCAATCAATATTTGACAAATAAACCAATTTTTCTTTAGATTTTATCTAAATGTCGATGCATATAATTTAAGTCTAATTCAATTTAATGGTTTAATTTTTATGTCTAATTTTTTTAATTTGCAATAATTTAATAGAAAATATAAGATTAATTTTGCCAAGATTTTCGAGAAGATTAAAGATTAAAATATGACAATATCAAGGAATGATCCGTGAGGAAACATGAAGGATCATGAGGGAACATGAAGGATCATGAGGGTAAATGAATGATCATTAGAGTTAATGTAGGATCAAGGACTCTGACGGATCATAAAAATATCGAGATATACAGGTTTTGAATGTTCATTGATCATGAGTGGATAATTATGAAAAATCATGAGGGAACAAGAGAGTTCATGAATAATAATGAACTTTAACGATGTATCATGAAAAATCATGAGGGATTATGAAAACTCATGAGGGATTATAACGTTAAACAAGAGGGGTCATGACAAATCATGAATGATCATGACAAGTCATGAAATCATGACAATTAATGATGAATCGTGGTAAAAAGTGAGGAATAATGGAGAATTATGAGGGATAATGAAAAACCATGAAGAATCATGAGGGATTATGAATAATCTGGAGGGATCATGAATAATTATGAGGGATCAAAAAACTCATGAGGGATGAAGAGTCATGAGGGATCATGATATAGCATAGCAAAAGAATATGGCATTATTCGGAATATGATGTCTGACCGTTATAAAATATACTACGGTGGTACGCGATAATATCAATATAAAGACGACTTTTTTATTTCAGTTTTTATTGTTTGTTTTATTTTTTAATGTTTAATATTAAATCAAAACATCAGAAATATCTTTTTTCAAAAAATGTAATGGATAAAATTCTTTTTGAAAATCCTACATTTGTCGTGAAAAAATGTTCAAATTCTATAAGGCAGTCTATTAATCTATATGTAAGTGACTGAACAACATAAAGTTAATAGCTTGCTAGGACAGTTTGAATTTTAGCAAAAACTGTCGCTTGCTTTGTTGCTAATATTTACGATGTTCAGAAAGCTCAACTTTTTGCAAACTCCTGTCCTTGCAAGAATTAGGTTTCAAAGCGTTTGCGAAAACTTTACAACTTTTCGCTAATTCGACCAGAAAATGTGAATTTATCGGATTTATTTTGCAGATTTTAAAGATTCATCTTTTGCAACAATTTTATTAAATTGTTCAGGTTTGAGTTTCAAAGCAAAATGTAAAGTTTACGATAAGTGTACAATGGTACAGCTACTTCAAGACCTTCAGCTGGATCATAGTCTATAACTCATTCATCTAGTACAGGGTGTCCCACGAAATATGACAGTTGGTGAATAGTTTAATATGTCTTCTTCCATAATTTGTTTAGTTGTTTGATTGAGAATGACAACAAAATATTTTATGGCAGTCCTCATAGTTAAATTTATTTCAAAGTAAAATGAATTTTAATAAAGGATTTTTTTTAAACCTGATGAAGATATCCTTGTTTTTCGGTCTGAAAAAAGTGACTTGCGGATTTAAGAAATGCAGCATGCATGAGACAACGAAGGAACGTAACACTTGTATAACTATAAAGTAGACAACGATATTCTTCTCTCTGATTTTGGCTCCGATAAAAGTTTAAAGGGCACCTTTGTGAATCGGGCATGCCACTTTATAAATATAGTCAATGAGGAATACCTCGTCTTTAGATAGTAATTAGCTGTAATCTGTAATCAAAGTTAAGGAAAAATCACGCAACCTCTACATAATTTCTCGAGGTTTCGTGATTTTGTATGTATTTATAAAAGCGTACCTTTTTAAGGTTTTAATAGGAAATCTAAAAACGTGAGATTAGAATAAAAAGTCCAGGCAATAAGCCGATTTCTGTTGGTAAATTGAAGAATAAGCCGATTTCTGTTGTGAAATTGAAGAATAAGCAAATTCTTGTTATAGGAACTCTAAGTGTAATTTAAAGTGCCATGCAAAGATTGCAATGTCAGATTTACAACGGTACCTTTAAAACCTTTATCTGATCAATAAAATAGAAGGTATTGTTCTTGTCTAGGTTTGAAAGTGTTTAATTCTGATAATTCCTCTTGTTTTCCTGCAGTAGAAATAAGCAAGTCACTTTTGAATAGAAATCACAATTGAAAATAATAATTTTTCAAAATTATAAACATTGATATCTAACTTATACTTGATCCGGATCGGAAAAAGCTTTTCAGGGCATTGCAATTTTTTTGGCATGAAGGGTCACATTAAATTACGCTTACATTTCCTTCAACCTTCACTCTCAGTGTCAAATTGTTAATTGTTTCGAAATTTTCTTTAATTATTCTAGATTGTAAACTTTTCTATCCTTTATTTCTCAATATAAATCCGAATTCCTGATTTAATTCGCAAATTAATATATTTTGCATGATTTATAAGAAGTGATCTTTATCTTGCTTAGAGGAACTGTAGACGTCATTGTCAAGTAACCTATATACAACAGAGCATGGTTTCAGATGCACAATGGTACCAATTAAAGATATGCATTGTCAAGAAAGCTTGAGATGTAAGTATTATTCTTTTTGAAAATCAACTGTGGTTCCTCTATAAACTGACAATTTTTCCATCCATCCCATCCATCCCATCCATCCCATCCATCCCATCCATCCCATCCATCCCATCCATCCCATCCATCCCATCCATCCCATCCATCCCATCCATCCCATCCATCCCATCCATCCCATCCATCCCATCCATCCCATCCATCCCATCCATCCCATCCATCCCATCCATCCCATCCATCCCATCCATCCCATCCATCCCATCCATCCCATCCATCCCATCCATCCCATCCATCCCATCCATCCCATCCATCCCATCCATCCCATCCATCCCATCCATCCCATCCATCCCATCCATCCCATCCATCCCATCCATCCCATCCATCCCATCCATCCCATCCATCCCATCCATCCCATCCATCCCATCCATCCCATCCATCCCATCCATCCCATCCATCCCATCCATCCCATCCATCCCATCCATCCCATCCATCCCATCCATCCCATCCATCCCATCCATCCCATCCATCCCATCCATCCCATCCATCCCATCCATCCCATCCATCCCATCCATCCCATCCATCCCATCCATCCCATCCATCCCATCCATCCCATCCATCCCATCCATCCCATCCATCCCATCCATCCCATCCATCCCATCCATCCCATCCATCCCATCCATCCCATCCATCCCATCCATCCCATCCATCCCATCCATCCCATCCATCCCATCCATCCCATCCATCCCATCCATCCCATCCATCCCATCCATCCCATCCATCCCATCCATCCCATCCATCCCATCCATCCCATCCATCCCATCCATCCCATCCATCCCATCCATCCCATCCATCCCATCCATCCCATCCATCCCATCCATCCCATCCATCNCAGTTAACTTCTAAAGGGGTTAGGATTTTGAAAGAAAGATACAAAAATTGGATTACTTGTAAGTTTTCACCTTTTTGAAACTATCATCCCAAAAAATCATTTATTTGCCGCTTAAAATTATTTGTAAAAGTTGACGAGACTAAAAATATCTAAAATTTCTCAAACAAATAAATTTTCTAGAACATTGCTCATTTTTCTTTATTTTTTTTTACTTTGTATACTGCATTTCTCTTTAATCCACAATTAACTTTCTCCAAACCTTCTTTCCTCATCCAACACTTCCCTATCTCCCCTAGCTCCTCCCCCTTACCTCCCCTATCCCCCCCTCTATCTCCCTTAAACCTCCACCCTTGGGTCTAAACAAATCTCGTATAAGAATGGATCGCTAAAGAATGAAGAATGTAAACATGAGATTATCCTGAAACCTCCCAAACCTTCATCAGGCATTAAGCTTATAGCAGGCAGTATACCTTCTAACCGTTTAGCTTCGGATAAATAAGAAGAATCAGTCATCCTGGTTTTCAACAGTTTAATACTTATCAAAAATATACATACAGTGAGAACCAGAAAACTCCGAAATAGGAACACGAGTTTTAGACTCAAGGTTTGACCTTAATTAGTCCCATGAGCAAGAAACACAGCAATTGTGTAGTGTTAAAAAACCATTTTACTGAACTAGTGATTTAATTAATGTATATCGAAATTAATTTCTAAATGACGTTCAGAATACTTCTTATCTTATTCGAATTTCCCGAACACCATCCCCCCCCCTCATATTTCCATGAATTGAATATTACCCCTTGAATGTGTACAAAGCTGCAGATGCCTCTTATCTTCCACAATCATAAGAAATGTGACAATTTATATTGTTCTAGATATTTAAGCACATGGCATAGGGAATATCTAAAAAATATTAAAATCAGAAAGCCCCCCCCCCCCACCTCCCTTATATACATTGTTAGTTTCTTACCGTAAAATAAGATTGTATAACATTTAGACACCTTAGACGTACACCTATTGGAATACAACTTCATGGTGAATAAAGCAGGACCACAAATACGTCCCTGGAGAACCCCGCAATTCTCCTTTGCCGGCTTCTCAAACAGTTCCCGGATATTTGACCAGGCTTATGTTTATGAAAATTAGCAGATTTTACAGATTTGGTGGATTTTCTAGATTCTCAAAACAAGATGGCAGCTGCCCCCCTAACCCCTCCCCATCAATCTATCCATCCATCCCATCCATCCCATCCATCCCATCCATCCCATCCATCCCATCCATCCCTGATGATATTTCTTGGTAGATAATTATGAAAAACCAACATAGATTCACATTTCAACAGTCCGAGGAGAGGGGGAAGGGGGGGGAAATGGTCATTAAACTTG